TGGGCTATTAGCATGAATTAGTATTCACATAGCTTTTCTTTCTCAAATAAGTTATATATTAATGTCAGTTCCGTAAAAAATGACGACACTTATGATGGTTAGGATTGTTTATCGTTGTATATTAGAAACTTATATGATGTTAAAAAAATAGTTTAATGCATAATTGCTTCAACCTGAATTTACTTAACAACTACTAGATATCCTCGTTCATTAACATCCTTTAGGGTGGTCAATAAAATTTTAAAGTTTTTTGGAGCCCATTTTTGTTATAAAAAAAAACCTGACAATAGTCTATCTCTGACTGGACTGATAGTGCATTTCACTTACTTGAATTTAGATTGAGATAAGTAACCACATTACAGTTAATTTAACATTCACCCATATAGTGAACAACAACTACGTCAAACTACTATTTACTGGGATAAAAACTATATAACAAGAGCAAACATTACGAATATTGATATGCGACAGCAAAAACGCTGTACACAGCTAATAAATTACTTACTTACTTACACCTGTTACTCCTCGTGAAGGAGCATAGGTCGCTCACCAGCATTCTCCATCCAACCCTGTCCTGGGCAATCCTTTCCAGCTCCTTCCAGTTGTAATTCATCCTTTTCATATCTGCTTCTATTATCCGACGTAATGTGTTCTTTGGCCTTCCTCTTTTCCGCTTCCCTTCAGGATTCCAAGTTAGAGCTTGCCTCGTGATGCAGTTTGACGATTTGCGTAATGTATGTCCTATCCATTTGAATCGTCTTTTCCTAATTTCCTCTTCAGCTGGAAGTTGGTTTGTTCTCTCCCACAGAAGGCTATTGCTGATGGTATCCGGCCAATGGATGTTGAGTATCTTGCGTAGACAGCTATTTATAAATACTTGTACTTTCTTGATTGTGGTTGTTGTAGTTCTCCAAGTTTCAGCTCCATACAGTAGAATTGCCTTGACGTTCGTATTGAAGATTCTCACTTTGATATTGGTTGAAAGTTGTTTTGAGTTCCATATGTTCTTCAATTGTAGGAATGCGGCCCTTGCTTTGCCAATCCTCGCCTTTACGTCTGCATCTGAACCTCCTTGTCTATCGACGATGCTTCCCAGGTATGTGAAGGATTCTACATCTTCCAGAGTTTCGCCATCAAGGGTGATTGGATTGCTGTTCTCCGCTTTGAATTTGAGGACCTTCGTTTTCCCTTTGTGTATGCTGAGGCCTACTGATGCAGAGACTGCTGCTACACTGGCTGTCTTCATCTGCATCTGTTCGTGTGTACGTGATAGGAGGGCTAGGTCATCTGCGAAGTCCAGATCGTCTAATTGGTTCTGAGCTGTCCATTGTATTCCGTGTTTTCCTTCAGATGTTGAGGTCTTCATAATCCAGTCGACCACCAGAAGAAAGAGGAAGGGAGAGAGTAAACAGCCTTGTCTGACTCCGGTCCTTACTTGGAATGCATCTGTCAGCTGTCCTCCATGCACGACTTTGCACTGTAGTCCGTCGTATGAGTTCCGGATAATATTGACAATCTTCTCAGGAACTCCGTAGTGTCGAAGAAGTTTCCATAATGTCCTCCTATCTACACTGTCGAATGCCTTTTCATAATCAATGAAGTTGATGTATAGTGACGAGTTCCACTCAATTGATTGTTCGACGATGATCCGTAGTGTTGCAATTTGGTCTGTGCACGATCGATCCTTTCGGAATCCAGCTTGTTGATCTCGAAGTTGGGCATCTACTGCATCCTTCATCCGGTTCAGCAACACTCTGTTGGAGACTTTCCCTGGTATTGACAGTAGTGTAATGCCTCTGTAGTTTTCACATTTGCTCAGATCTCCTTTCTTTGGAATCTTGATAAGGTGTCCTTCTTTCCAGTCCATTGGCACTTGTTCCTCCTCCCAAATCTTTTTAAATAGAGGGTAAAGCATGCTTGTGGTTACTTCGACGTCTGATTTCAGTGCTTCAGCTGGTATGTTGTCGGGTCCTGCTGCTTTCCCGTTCTTGATTTGTCTGACGGCCATTCTAATTTCTTCCGTCGTTGGTGGGTTGACATCTATAGGAAGATCTGTGTGTGCTGCTTCGATGTTCGGTGGATTCATTGGAGCCGACCTATTCAGGAGTTCCTCGAAGTATTCTACCCATCTGTTACGCTGTTGTTGAATTTCAGTGATTGGCTTGCCTTCTTTGTCTTTGACCGGCCTCTCTGGTTTACTGTATTTCCCTGATAGTTTCTTCGTTGTGTCGTGAAGCTGTTTCATATTTCCTTCTCTAGCAGCTTTTTCTGCCGTCGTTGCTAATTCTTCCACGTATTTCTTCCTGTCGGCTCTAATGCTCCTCTTCACTTGTTTGTTTGCTTTTATGTATTCAGCTTGTGCTTGGACTTTCTCTGCTCGTGTTCGGCTGTTGTTTATTGCTGCCTTCTTGTTCTTCCTTTCTTTGATCTTGTCCAGTGTTTCTATAGAGATCCATTCCTTATGATGGTGTTTCTTTAGGCCCAGAACCTCTTGACACGTTGAAGTCAATGTTTCTTTGATGCCTTTCCAGTTGTCCTCCATGGTAGTTTCTTCTTCCTTCAGTAGATCCTGTAAAGCTTGGAACCTGTTGTTGAGAGCTATCTTAAATTCATTGAGTTTGTCAGTATCTCGAAGGAAGGCTGTATTGAACCTTTGTATTGTTGTTTGTCCACTTGTCCAGTTCTTTTTTAGCTTCAGTTTCAAATTGGCTACAACTAGGTGGTGATCTGAAGCTACGTCAGCACCTCTCCTGGTTCTCACATCTTCCATTGTCCTTCGGAATTTTTTGTTGATGCAAATATGGTCTATCTGGTTCTCTGTAGTGTGGTCCAGTGAGATCCATGTAGCTTTGTGTATACGTTTGTGTGGAAATATTGTGCCTCCTATGACTAATTTGTTGAATGCACACAAATTTGCAAATCTTTCTCCATTTTCGTTCCTCTCTCCCAGTCCATGTCGTCCCATAATATCTTCATATCCGGTGTTGTCTATTCCAACTTTGGCATTTAGATCTCCCATTAGAATGGTGAGGTCCTTTCTTGGGCATTTCTCTATGATTGAATGCAGCCGCTCGTAGAATCGATCTTTAATTTCGTCGTTGCTATCATTGGTGGGTGCATAACATTGGATAATATTCATTAAGATCCCCTCCTTCTTTGTTTTGAATGATGCTTTGATGATTCTGGATCCGTGGGATTCCCATCCTACAAGTGCATTTCGTGCTACTTTGGACAGCATTAGAGCAACTCCCTGAGTGTGTGGAGCATTTTCCTCTTCGTGACCGGAGTATAGCAGCATCTCTCCCGTAGCTAGCCTTTTCTGTCCAGCTTGGGTCCAGTGGGTTTCGCTGATTCCCAGTACTTCTAAGTTGTATCTCCTCATTTCCGTTGCTATTTGGCTGGTCTTCCCGGTTTCCCACATTGTTCGAACGTTCCATGTACCTATAAAAATTTTTGCTCTGGTTGTTAGAAGGGGCATCGGCCTCGTGGCTTCCGAAGGAACTCGGCTTTCACCATGAAGCGTCATAATTCTTCTAAATGAAGACCTTCTAACTCTCAGGGCAGGGTTAAAATGGTTTGAATTATTTTTTCTGGTAAGCGTTTTTTTAGCGAGTTAGTTTTCTACGGGATGGGGACGTTAACCCCATGCCCAACCCTCCTCCTTTACCCGGGCTTGGGACCGGCAGTAACTCTAGAAGAGCTACAGGCGGAGTTACAGCTAATAAATAACGACATTTAAAATACTCGATAGCACGTAGCATGTGAGCAAGAACGCATAACTTAACTTTTATTCTCAATGCCTAAATTTTGGTTGAGAAATCAGGCATATCCCTTAAATGAAAGTTGAAATTTAATTAGCTAGTTGTAATCTATTTTCGTTTAAACTCATCATGAACTTGAGAAAGACCATCTTTGATGTTTTGTGAGTTAAAGTGGATTGGTGGGTCGCCAATGCTCATAAGTTTTTGATTTGGATTGGTTGGGTGATGAATATGTCTGTTTATTACAAATGTCTGTACACTCATTTTTCTTCTCATTATTCTTATGTGGTAATTGTTGAACTCTATTGTGATTAGTTTATTGAGTGGGCGTTTACTTAAATTTTTATTGGCTTCTTACAAGGTTGCATGTACGTGTATGTGTTTATGTGTATGCATCTATATACAATGAAATATTATTTATCACTATTACTGCCATCAAAAATGAACGATGAATATGAATCATTGCACTATCCTCATATAACGCCGCAACAATACAACGCATAATATACGGGTTTGTATTCGTTCAAAATATTAGTATTTTTTATTTCGTATTACAAAGAGTAAAGTGCATATAAATTATTTTGTGTAATACTGTTACACAGTTCGTTCAAAGTCCAACATCACCCCGGAACAGAAACGGATACAAATACTAGAGTTACAGTTCGTATATATACGCGCATACACAAAGAAATAGTCACCCACCCACCCACTTACGAACGCATACATACATCGCACACATAAGCACAAACACTGGCACATAGTAATTAAAAAAAACGTAAACCATCAAGGAGAACGACATTTTTAGAGCAAGAGAGAGAAATAAATACTTTAATTATTGTTGTTTTAAAATCTGGTTAATACTTACTGTTATTTTAATTGTTATTAATGGAGATATATATGTATATAAACGTCATTAAAAACACGGAATAGTTAACCACTAATAAATCAACTCTGAATACTTATAAATATATATAAAAAAATCTTTTTGAAATTAAAATTACATTGGGTCAAATTTGACTGGAACTTCTGTTATCATTGTATGCTACTTGTATCGGATTTGGAAATACCATTATTTTCTTTCCCATTAATCCATATAATTTACCAACTGCTTAAATACTATCATCAACAACCAACTTGATAGCAAAGAATCTGTCAGGTAATAACATACACGACCACGAGGAAACATTTGGATCATTTATACTTACTATTACTACTACTAATATTCACAAATTATTTCACATGTTATTTAGTTCAGAGTTATCTTCTCGAAAGTCTTCGTCAGTGACTCATTTGATTCTATTATTCTTTACTATATATTCTATTCCGATTAAATTAATTCATGGGAGTTGTGAACCAGCTCGATTTGTAATTATATGTACCAATGAATTCCCATCAAGTTCATTTCTAAATAATTTAACTGGTAAATATGAACTGATTATAAACAGTGTAAAAACTAAACTAGACGTTAAATCATTTGAAAAATATCAAGGTGCACAAATTAAACGTTTACAAATCGAAAAATCCACGATTTATTCAATTGAACCGAAATTTTTTAATATATTTAGTCGTAATAGTCTAGAACGTTTATCATTGAGTAATGTCGATGGTCCGTATCGTTTGGATGCTCAATCTTTAGCTGGTCTAAGTGAAAAATTAAATACATTGCGTATTAATGATCATGCATTAGATAACATTGATGATTTTGTTATATTAAATAAATTAACACGATTATATCTTGTTCGAACACATTTAACACAATTACCAAATAATTTTAAACAATTGTTAACACATTTAGAAGACATTAACTTATCTGAAAACTTATTAACTTATATACCATGGAAAGAACTAGCTGAACGTATACAAAATGATCAATTTTTAAAAATTCAACTAGGTAAAAATTTATGGAATTGCGATTGTAGTGTAAAACCATTAATCGAATTGAAACCCGAAGCGAAGTAAGTTTATTGATTTTTTAGATTCTTTTTTCTTGCAATTCGTATTTGTGTTCTCATCAAATTCATTATAGATATTTCCATGTAACCAATTTCCAGTTTTCGAGTACAAGGATAATTGACTTGTCACTTGATAATTAGTCATCAATGAAGCTGCTGAAATTGATTCTGTTAACGAGGCGTAGTGATCAAATATTATTATTCTGTGGAAGAGATGAAATCCCTAAATAAGTTTACAGAATTAGTCTTGATTTTCCGACACTTCCTCAACGGTGGTCTTAAAGACGATTGGCTCTATAGAAATGAAATATAAGATAGATAAACGTGAGTCAAGGTAATTAGGTGAAATGAAGGAATTTCAATATTAAGTTCACCGCTCAATCTAATATAAGAAAAAAAATTTAACAGTCTATTCAATCCTCATAGAAAAGGTTGAAACGCTTGTTCATAATCTTGATATTTAATTTTTGAACGTGTTCGGTTGGCAGACGTTTATATTAGTCGCTCTGAAATATATATGGTTTCCTCCAAGGGGTGTGTTGTATTTCTAAACTTGTCCCAAACATACCATTTAACGGGCTGTACAAGGCAATTATAAAACTTTTTGATGGCAGATGTACAATACTGTGCTTTGTTTGGTGTCACGATTTAAAGTTATCCTTCATTGTATTTATTCTGGGATGCTCATTTCATCAATGGAAAGATTATAACGAATGGCGTGACTGATGGGTATTACTATATATATATTGAAATAGGGGTACAATCAATGTTAGTGTAAATTAACTATCTAGGAACTTTTTATTGAGAGTAAAGTTTCTAATACGGTTACCATAGTAAAGTATATCTGTTTATTGTTCTATAGATTAACTTATTGATCACATATTTATTTTAGGCGCTTCCTTTCTTTTCACCATAGTCTTATTATTAGGAAATTAGATCAATATTCAATGTACTACCATTTATGTCAAGAAATAATCAATCTATACTGGTAAAATAAGTCTTTTTCACTTTAGATATACTGAGAACTGAATGTAGTTGAATGCAAAATTGATTTCTATTCCATATTTTTCATCTTCAATAAAACATAAAGGGGTATTGTCAAACAGAAGGTTTACTTCATCCCTCAGAAATAACTGTAAAAGTTATTCTTTTAAATTAGTAACTCATTGTTGATATTAAATTAGAGTCATTTTGTTATATTGGCAAGTAAAAAATTGATCAAACAAGTCGATGATGTATATTATTTCATTGCAACTGTATTGTTATCATTTACATTAAGTGACAGGAATGTACTGATTCAAGTCTTGTACAGAGTTGTGAATGATGAGTATTAAAGGGTCTGAAAACCAGGAAGTTACAACTGTTCAATAGTTTTTGAATGATCCATGTTGCTAAGGTATTCAACCGTATCATGATGAGTTGATAACATGTGAAATTTCTAAAAGCCATTCGTCAGTGTGTTCTGTATATGACTAGGGATAAATTTAACCTCTCTGGCTTACTAATTTACAAATTTATACTATTAAGTTATAATCGAAAGATAAATATGAAGCATTATCATAATCATTTATTTTAAGATATTGTTACGTTTTAGCAAAAATGGTTTATTAAAATTGTTCAGCTTGTAGTTTCACATCACTTACCAGCTTTAGCTAAACAACTATTCTGAATGGAGAAATACTAAAGAGGAGCATCTTTTTAGTTTAAGATTTTTCAGCAGTACTCATTCGTGAATGGAAAAACGATCGAACACAGGATCTTTAAACCTTATAGTTGGTGTATTTCTTTTAGGTTGCTGAGTTTCAGTTTAATAGTTTTTAAATATTCTACCGTCTATTCAACTGTCTAGACGTTAGTAATGTGAAGAGAAATTCGTGGAAATTCTAAAGAGACTTCGTAATCATTGAAGTTTAACTATATCAGGCATGAGACACTTATCGCTCAGGTCAATTGACAATGGTTATCCAGTGTTATAAATCAACTGAAATCGGCAATATGGATCACTGGGTACCAGTCTAGTGGTAAAAAGGTATTTGTGATGTATTCTGTATTCAATCTCTGATGGGTTTGAAAAGTTCAACAATGAGTGAACTCATGATAAGACCAAACAGTGCCTGCTAATTTACTATAGTTATCCAGTTAAAATTAGTCTTTGATTAGATTGATTAGATCCATCAATTTTAATTAAAACATACTAAGCAAATAAGATCTTTATCATCAAAACTAATTGCTTTATTTACTAACACTCATGAGTTATTTTTAAATTATATATACATATAAAGGTTTTCAAGGTAGACAATGATTGATAGTTGACACAATACTCATATTCATCCACTAGATGCTGGTATTTTTTTAGCTTAAACAAAGTCCGACTGTGACTACTGCAATTCAAGCTTTCCAAACATAATTTAAAATTATTAAATCGATATTGAGGCTGACATATATAGACTCTAGCGTATAAGATCGATTATAGGACTGGTTTTTATAATGGATCTATTAAATTGAATTAGGACAGATTTCTATACAAAAACAACATTTACTTTGAAATATTTTCTCAATCTCATCTACGCAACTAATGAACCTTAATAGAAAAAATCTGTCAATCTGATCACACTAGCAAATCAGAGTGATTCCTTTAATCGACCTCAAAATATGTTATTATTGTAGTTGAAATGTAAATACCAAAGTTTATTGGTGAATTTTATATCAATAAGAATTATTCATATTCACTTGCTAAACTATATTATTAGATTTAAATGGTACACATGACTAACGTTGATGGACAGGTTTCATGTTTTTGTAAAATTCACTGTTAGTTCAGTTTCGTTGAATAATGCTAACACACATCCCTTTGCAGTGGTCAATCATTAACCCTGTACATATTTACCATTGAATATTTCGAATGAGATCCAGCTTTTAATGAACTTTTTTATTGCTTTCTATGACAGTACAGTGTACCTAGTATTAAAAATTTCCATTGTGGAAATCGAAACAAAAAATACAGGCGAAATGTTGTTTTCAATTAGGTCTTCATCAGGCTTTTCTCTTATTTCTTAATAATTTTTGACGACTATTGTCTTAATATCTGCTTTTTTTCAAGTTTTAACCCACGTTCTACGTTGGGACACCTTTATTCTAGCCTTTATTATTTTTATACCTGTTAGTACATCTATCATTATACCACTAATCTGTACCCCTTACTTACAATGTTTAGTTATGCGATTTGTTCAGTGCTTTCATTAATTTATAAACTGCCTTGATTATTTTAATATTTTCCATATATTCTTGTACGTTAGAGTAAAGCTTTATGAAGATCTAATCGAAACCAATATCGTTCGCTTATGAGTTGTCTTAATTTGCTAAGTGTTCATACAACAGCTATTGTTAAAACGGCTAATGTTTACCTTGTAAACATCCTTAATTCCTTTTATCTCCTAATTCAGTGTAGCTTTTCGGCTATAGTGTTAATTCATCTATATATCTACTTCACTTGTGTCGTTACCGATTCATATCATTTTTTTGTTAGTACATAGGTTAATAGAGCTGGACTCAATTTGTATACGTTCCAAGAGAGTGGCCGGAACTAGGAATACAGAAGGAAAAACACAAAAGTTTGTATAAACAAATAAATAGGAAACTTTTATATTATACTAAGTTGACTGACAGAGCAATATCATCATCCAGAATTATTCACAATCATTGATGTGGCTAATATGTAGTGATCAATTTGTCGTTTTATCGTCGCATGAATTGTTCTAAAACTACCCCTTTTCTGACGTTCAGCATTACAAAAATTTGTTTGACTATTTCTTATGCTACTTTTTCTGAAATAACCTTTATAATTATTTCACCTTTGTTTATTATGATGGTGGTTTATAAAGATTTTGTTCGACCAAAAAAATCTATTTATCGTAAACGGATATCATCTGAAACAAATTGTTATTTAACCTTAATTTTAGATAACCCAGCTGTGTTCACTCATAGCTCCTAACAGAGTTAAATTTTGGACTTTTAAGCCCTATGACCTAGATTTTCTACTGGTTGGCAGTGATCAGTAAAGTTTACCTGGAATACTGAAAGAACTGGTACTCATCTTTGGGTTTCAACTCGTGTCGTTTAATTTATCAGTCAGTGACGTTGCCAATGAACTATTCTCGCCGTAACTGAGCTTTAGTATATTATTACTGTATAGTATATCGGTACGGTGGAAACTTAGCGATAATATTATACATTATAGTTAGTCTTTTTATAATGTTACTTAGGAATATTATTAAATTTTGTTAATATCTTGGAATATTCTATCAGATTTTTCTATAAGACGTCGTTTGATTGAGAGAAAAAATTACCTGTCATACAGTCATAAATCAGTACATGTCTCTACTCATTTTTATTATCAATATCAGCATGATTCAGTATTTTAATCGTAACAAACTACTTTAAATATATAAGTATATGTAAAAAAAATTTGGCAATCAACTATGTTTCATCGACAGAAACAACAGTTGAATGTATGTATGGAACCAAAGAATTAGAATAAGACAATGAAAAAAGTTGGTGCTCCACACATATTGTTATTTTATTATTCATAGGAGCATTCTATTTGAGTAGTGGAAGTGGTAGTATTACTAGTATTAATATTGGTATTGGTATTAGTATTAGTATCAGTATTAGTATTATTATTATTAGTAGTAGTAGCAGAGTAAACCTACGAGTGAACGCATGTTAATATGTGTACATATGTGCTCATTTTTATGAATGTATCACATATACACTTGTTTAGGGATTGTCATGGGAAACATCTGAGTGATCACAAACAAATGTGCACTTAAATTATTATTGATTAGTTCCATATGAAATAGAGGCGTTAGAGAGTGAGCTAATTAATTAGTTTAGATTGACATTAGTTAGGATATTCCTGAAAATCAAAGAATTTTGGTAAGCTCCTTAATGCTCGTATGAGACTCTTCAGCAATTCACATCTACAGCCTGACCAGGGATGGAAC